TTTCTGTCCAAAAATGATGCAGAAAAATTAATCCATGCATTTGTTACTTCTAGGTTAGACTACTGCAATGCTCTATTTTCCGGACTACCCGGATAAAGCACTAAATAAACTTCAGTTAGTGCTAAATACGGCTGCTAGAATCCTGACTAGAACCAAGAAATTTGATCATATTACTCCAGTGCTAGCTTCCCTACACTGGCTTCCTGTTAAGGCAAGGGCTGATTTCAAGGTTTTACTGTTAACCTATAAAGCGTTACATGGGCTTGCTCCTACCTATCTTTCCGAGTTGGTCCTGCCGTACATACCAATACGTACGCTACGGTCACAAGACGCAGGCCTCCTAATTGTCCCTAGAATTTCTAAGCAAACAGCGGGAGGCAGGGCTTTCTCCTATAGATCTCCATTTTTATGGAACAGTCTGCCTACCCATGTGAGAGACGCAGACTCGGTCTCAACCTTTAAGTCTTTACTGAAGACTTATCTCTTCAGTAGGTCATATGATTGAGTGTAGTCTGGCCCAGGAGTGTGAAGGTGAACGGAAAGGCTGGAGCAACGAACAGCCCTTGCTGTCTCTGCCGGGCCGGTTCCCCTCTCCACTGGGGTTCTCTGCCTCTAACCCTGTTGCAGGGGCTGAGTCACTGGCTTGCTGGTGCTCTTTCATGCCGTCCCTGGGAGGGGTGCGTCACTTGAGTGGGTTGAGTTACTGACGTGATCTTCCTGTCTGGGTTGGCGCCCCCCCCTTGGTTTGTGCTGTGGTGGAGACCTCTGTGGGCTATACTCGGCCTTGTCTCAGGATTGTAAGTTGGTGGTTGGGGATATCCCTCTAGTGGTGCGGGGGCTGTGCTTTGGCGGAGTGGGTGGGGTTATATCCTTCCTGTTTGGCCCTGTCCGGGGGTTTCTTCGGATGGGGCCACAGTGTCTCCGGACCGCTCCTGTCTCAGCCTCCAGTATTTATGCTGCAGTAGTTTATGTGTCGGGGGGCTGGGGTTAGTTGGTTATACCTGGAGTACTTCTCCTGTCTTATCCAGTGTCCTGTGTGAATTTAAGTATGCTCTCTCTAATTCTCTCGTTCTCTCTTTCTCTCTGAGAACCTGAGCCCTAGGACCATATGTCAGGACTACCGGGCATGATGACACCTTGCTGTCCCCAGTCCGCCTGGCCTTGCTGCTATTCCAGTTTCAACTGTTCTGCCTGCGGTTATGGAACCCCTACCTGTCCCAGACCTGCTGTTTTCAACTCTTAATGATCGGCTATGAAAAGCCAACTGAGATTTATTCCTGATTATTATTTGACCATGCTTGTCACTTATGAACATTTTTGAACATCTTGGCATGGTTCTGTTATAATCTCCACCCGGCACAGCCAGAAGAGGACTGGCCACCCCTCATAGCCTGGTTCCTCTCTAGGTTTCTTCCTAGGCTTTCGCCTTTCTAGGGAGTTTTTCCTAGCCACCGTGCTTCTACACCTGCATTACTAGCTGTTTGGGGTTTTAGGCTGGGTTTCTGTACAGCACTTCGAGATATTAGCTGATGTAAGAAGGGCTATATAAAATAAAATTGATTGATTGATTGATTTGCCTTGATGACAGCTTTGCACACTCTTGGCATTCTCTCAACCAGCTTCACCTGGAATGCTTTTCCAACGCTCTTGAAGGAGTTCCCACATATGCTGAGCACTTGTTGGCTGCTTTTCCTTCACTCTGCGGTCCAACTCATCCCAAACCATGTCAATTGGTTAGAGGTCTGGTGATTGTGGAGGCCAGGTCATCTGATGCAGCACTCCATCACTCTCCTTCTTGGTAAAATAGCCCTTACACAGCCTGGAGGTGTGTTGGGTCATTGTCCTGTTGAAAAACAAATGATAGTCCCATCTAAGCCAAAACCAGATGGGATGGCGTATCGCTGCAGACTGCTGTGTTAGCCATGCTGATTGTGTGCCTTGAATTCTAAATAAATCTATAATTTGGACTCCAGACCAAAGGACAGAATTTAACCGGTCTAGTGTCCATTGCTCGTATTTCTTGGCCCATCTAGTCTCTTCTAATTATTGGTGTCCTTTAGTAGTGGTTTCTTTGCAGCAATTCGGCAATGAATGCCTGATTCACACAGTCTCCTCTGAACTGTTGATGTTGAGATGTGTCTGTTAGTTGAACTCTGTGAAGCATTTATTTGGGCTGCAATTGCTGAGGCTGGTAACTCTAATGAACTTATACTCTGCATTAGAGGTAACTGTGGGTCTTCCTTTCCTGTGCCGGTCCTCATGAGAGCCAGTTTCATCATAGCGCTTGATGGTTTTTGAGACTGCACTTGAAGAAACTTTCTAAGTTCTTGACATTTTCTGGATTGACTGACCTTCATGTCTTAAAGTACTGATGCACTGTCGTTTCTCTTTGATTATTTGAGCTGTTCTTGCCATAATAGCCCTATTTGGTAAAATACCAAGTCCATTTCTGCTGAATATACCCCCCCCCCCTCAACGCATGAAGAAGAAAGGAAATTCCACAAATTAACTTTTAACGAGGCACACCTGTTAATTGAAGAATTGAAATGCATTCCAGGTGACTATCTCATGAATCTGGTTGAGAGAATGCCAATAGTGTGCAACGCTGTCATCAAGGCAAAGGGTGGAACTTTGAAGAATCTCAAATATAAGCTATATTTGGATTAATTTAGACTTTAACACATTTTTTGGTTACTACATGATTCCATATGTGTTATTTAATAGTTTTGATGTCTTCACTATTATTCTACAATGTAAAAAATTGTCAAAATAAAGAAAAACCCATGAATGAGTAGGTGTCAACGTTTGACAGGTACTGTATATACATTAAAGATTCACTATGAGTATACAGTATATAAATGTGAAATCATTAAAGCCTGTTATCAACAGTATTCACAGTCATTTAATTAATATCAGTTCCCTTTCAGTCGCTCACGCGGTATAACATACCATAGGGAGTCAACGACCAATCCGATTCACCTGACGCAAATTGAAATCATGTCCAACGGGCCAATGGATGCCGAGCTTGCCCTCGGAAGCCCAGCCTTCCTGGCTATAATACCGGGGATCTCAACTATTTCCTAAAGAGTTTGAACCTCTGACTGTGCCGTAGGGCATGGCGTTTCACAATGAAAATGAAAGATACTCACGAGTGCTGTCCTGTTGCCTGGGGTGGAAACACACTCAGGAGGCTTTAGCTCGGACCAGTTCGCCTGACGATTGTCTCTGGCTGGGTTCAACTTCCATAGAGTCGGGCTGGCTTTTTGGGGAAGATTGGTGGTCTGAGTTGATAGGTGTCATCCCATTCTAGTGAGGCTCATTACGGTTTCTCTGGCAGTGTTCAGAGTCCAGATTCCGGGGATGATACATCCCTGATTGGCTCTGGAGGGTATTCTGAGTGTGAATCGGACAACATCAGTCCGGGGCAGCCTGACACCACGGCTTTGGATTCGGCAGGGGAGAGTGAACCATTGGTTCTGAATAGGCCTTTGATGGCGTTTCCTCCACTGCATCGGAGTTCCTCCAGGTTTGAGGGAAGGTATTTATCTCCTGTCCCTGCAGAGGTGAAGCGTCGCTTACCCCTTTTTTAAAGATTTTGCCGACGAGTGTAGAGTTACTTAGCTCCAGAGGTTAACAAGGGTGCTAATCCTAGCACGGTGCTTCTGAATAAACAACGCCGGTTCTCGGGATTCCTGAGAGGGACAAGCGGATACATTTGGATGAGCCAGTTGATCCAAGGTTGTTTGGCTCGGGACCCTCCTTCTAAAGCATTTACAGTGCTTCCAAGTGGCTCGGTCAATGGGGGCAAGTTACTGGTTGCCGACGTCCTTGAACTCTGTTTGGGCCAGGTATCAGAACACACAGTTCTGATAAATCCCAGTCCTCAGGGTGGTGCTCTGCCCCTTCAGGAGATAATGTATGGGTGACCGGTAGCGCGCTCCGGCCAGTGGCGGGCATGCGCAGTTTCTCCATGAATGGTGACAAGGATGTATGGTCTGCAGTTTGTTGTTGGTAATCAGGCCTACCACTGTTGTATCAGCAAACTTAATGATTGAGCTGGAGACGTGCATGGCCACGCAGTCATGGGTGAACAGGGAGTACAGGAGGGGGCTGAGAACGCACCCGTGTGGCCACCGCGTTGAGGATCAGCGTGGTGGAAGTGTTGTTTTTTCGCTTGTGGATGAGACCCCAGGGTGATATCTGTGCTGCAGCGAATTTGGGTTCCCCTGCACCGTTGTGAGGTTTTATAGCTTGGATGTAACTGCTCCCAGTGTGGCTTATAGTGTTCTTATGGCTGGGTCCAGGAATGGGTGTTAGGCAGCGCGTAGGTTGCACATGTATCCAGGTTACCACAGGTCCCATGTGGGATTGAGCCTTGGTCTGCCGTGGCAGTGCGCAAGTACACAGTTTGAAGGTTGCTGCAGGTTTCTTGTGGGTTTCATTGACACTGGTTGATGCTATGCTGCGCATGTGCACTTTACCAAGTCATAACAGATATTCTGTTGTTTTGGACTTGGGTTCCTTTGTACGAGTTCTGACATTTCAGGCTCGCAAAGTATTGTTCTTGGAACTGTGGGGTCTAGGGACTTGGACTGCAGTGGCAGCGTGTCAGTATACACAGCCAAGTTGCAGCAGGTTCTGGTTCCATATATGGGGCTCTGATTGATTGTATGTCCGCATATTTTATACAGAGTGACGGACTGAAAGGGAATGTACAGTCATGAAAATAACTACTGTTCCCTGAAGGAGAGAATGAGGTATAACATATTTTGGCCCTGTGCAGTCAGGCGGTTTGGGTACTGAATTTAGGAAATGGATGCAAGCCCCGGTATTATAGCCAGGAAGGCGGGGATTCCGAGGAAGGGCTCGGCATCCATTGGCCCGTTGGGGCGTGATTTCAGTTTGGTTGTTGCCTCCCCGTAGTATGCTATACCTCGTTACCTCCTTCAAGGAACAGTAGTTATATTCATAACTGTACGGTTTCTGTAATAAGAGCGATCCTGCAACAAGAACAGTGAGCTTACCGTTATTTAGCTTTCACCAACCAATCAGGGCACATGCAACAAAGATGATGATGACGTGGATGACAGCGTAGTTGTGGTCCGCTCTGTCCCGCTCTGGTTTTGGAAATACAGTGACATCAAAATCTCAACGTCAACATACTGTATCATATAATATCTAGTCTAGTGTGTGTGTCTGTGTGTGTCTGTGTGTGTGTGTGTGTGTGTGTGTGTGTGTGTGTGTGTGTGTATGTGTGCGGGTACGGTGTGCGTGCATCTCTTTTACCAAATTTAGGTACACAAAACGTTTTAATCTCCTTGGTGTCGTTGGCCCAGCTGACTTGGTTGCTGTGGTTACAGATGATGGAACCCCCTGCCACATAGACAGAGAGCAGGGGGACAGTGGAGGTCTCAGCCCCTCTACTCTCTCCTCCCAGCTGAGAGCAGGTGCTGTTGTTACAGCTGGAGGTGACAGAGGTGTTCTGGCCTCTGCAGGTCACAGTCGCATTACAGGGGTCACTCTTGGTGGAGACAGGGTCCACTGTCAGTACTGGAGGCTCAACTCTCTCTGAAAACACATAGAAACCCATTATCGTTCGTATATTAACCTGAGTACATGAGCTAGAGTACCAATGCATCTAAAGAATTTGCCTTTAACCTAAAAACACCATGTTTAGCTCTATTGATTGATACTGTAACTGTGTCACTGTATAATAAAATAGAAAAACTGTCAACCATACCTTGAACTACCAACATGTATGTAGCAGCGTTGGTGTTTTCGTTACCAGACACTACTGCTTCATACGGTCCACTGTCTCCTTCCTGAAGGTTCTTCAATAGCAGAGAGAAGTTTCCCTCACTAAATTCAACCCTACCTTTGAACCTTTCAAAGGTTACTTTTGGGGGATACTTTACAACATTGACTAATGTGTTAAACTTCCAAAATAGCAAATCAGTATCCTTTTTCAGTTGAACATTTCCCAGGACATCCAGACGAACATCCTGTCCCTTCAGCACAAACACAGAGCTGGACTCTGTGAAATAAACACACAGAATACTTCATGTAAAAAAAGATGAAATAGTCTAGCAAACAATGTGACAAATAGAGCAGTAGGATATATGAATTTAGCAACGCAACCTCCTAAAGGAATGTGTGCAAATTGATTGTTTTTGCAAATAGCCAAACTGGCTGACACATCGTAATGACCCGATTTGCCTAAATATACTGTTTGCATGCTTTGTAGTTTGGGCTGGAATTTCTCTATACACCCTATTTGTTAAATGGTTTCAAGATTAACCCATCAAAAGGTCAGCAGCTTTTAGATCATCATACTTTGACAATAAATAACTAGGATATGATACACACTTCAGTTTCAGAAACCATTCAGTAAAAGCAACTTGATGAAGGATAACTCCAGGAAGTATAACCTAATCTGCCTAAAAGAATAGATAACTTGGGTGCTCAGAGAGTGGGCATTTTTCAGCCCACATACAGTATTTGTGGTCGACTGACAGACATGTCTAAAAACGAGTTGCGCTATGCATTTCCGGGTGTGAGAAGTTGTTCCATGCTTCAAAAGGCGTTGTGGGGTAGTTTCCTGTCACTGACTTTCATGTGACACTGAACTTTGTCTTACAATAGTACATTATACTATCACAACCCAAAATGTTTGTATTACTCATTAATTGTTGTTACAAAACATATTTTTAAAACTACAGTATTGTTTTAAAAAATGATACCTACAGTTAATTACATACTATGTCACCCACTGTGACTTCATCTGAGTTCCAGGGTCACCCACTGGTTGGACTGGTTATAAGCAGAGTAATCAGTACAAATGATACTGCCTGTTACTTACTGTGCCTACTGATCAGATTATAGACACATACTGTATGTCTAATCAATATTACTATAAAAATGTCTTTAAATGCTCTTACCTGTTTGATGGATGAGAGTTAGTAGAATAGCGATGGTGAAACGCACGGTCCCCATACTTCGATAAATGACTAAACCTAAATGAGGAAGTATTGTCACATAAGCCTGTACTTCCGCGTCCTCTAGTAGCATTTTACACCCATAGCCACAAATTTCACACAAGATTAACCTATTCTGTTTGCAATTCTAACATGTTTCATTGCATGTGAAATGACTTCATAACCAGTTTCCAATACATTTGAAATGTATTTAGGAACTGAAAATGCCCTACAAAACACTCCGTTGTTTGTGAGAGCAAAGACGGGGGCAGAATACATTTTTATCATGTTACAAATCAATTTGTGTTACTATAAGATTTGTTATTGCGTAATCAAAGTATTTCCAAAAGTTTTTAACATGTACATCTCTGGTAGGGCAGCCCTTACCAACTTAATGACACCCATATAGGGGAGCCATGCCTTTCATTAAATAGCAGAAAACGAATAAATCAGTTGACATTCATACTGATTATTTAGACTATGGTCATATTGTCTATATGAATGCAGCTGCCACTGAATTGAAGTCATTGGACAGAGTTTATCATAGTGCACTACGCTTTATTACGGGTGAAAGGTTCGGTACACATCACTGCATTCTGTATCAGAAATGAGGTTGGCCCTTTCTGAGGTCTGGTAGATCAATGCATTACACTCTTTTAGTTTATAAAACCCTCCAGCAGAAACCTCCACCGGACCTTACTTCATTGTTAACTTACAGGCGTACGTGTCACCAGACCCGGTCTCAGAGATGGATAACTCTGGAGATCCCTTCGCTCTCCACTGAAGTAGGTACATCTGCTTTTAGTTTTTTTGCACCTTACTTATGGAATAATCTCAAATCAAATCAAATCAAATTTTATTGGTCACATGCGCCGAATACAACAGGTGCAGACATTACAGTGAAATGCTTACTTACAGCCCTTAACCAACAGTGCATTTATTTTAAACAAAAAAGTAAGAATAAAACAACAACAAAAAAGTGTTGAGAAAAAAAGAGCAGAAGTAAAAATAAAGTGACAGTAGGGAGGCTATATATACAATAGAATAAAGTGACAGTAGGGAGGCTATATATACAGGGGGGTACCGTTGCATAGTCAATGTGCGGGGGCACCGGCTAGTTGAGGTAGTTGAGGTAATATGTACATGTGGGTAGAGTTAAAGTGACTATGCATAAATACTTAACAGAGTAGCAGCAGCGTAAAAAGTATGGGGTGGGGGGGGCAGTGCAAATAGTCCGGGTAGCCATGATTAGCTGTTCAGGAGTCTTATGGCTTGGGGGTAGAAGCTGTTGAGAAGTCTTTTGGACCTAGACTTGGCACTCCGGTACCGCTTGCCGTGCGGTAGCAGAGAGAACAGTCTATGACTAGGGTGACTGGAGTCTTTGACAATTTTGAGGGCCTTCCTCTGACACCGCCTGGTATAGAGGTCCTGGATGGCAGGGAGCTTTGCCCCTGTGATGTACTGGGCCGTACGCACTACCCTCTGTAGTGCCTTGCGGTCAGAGGCCAAGCAGTTGCCATACCAGGCGGTGATGCAACCAGTCAGGATGCTCTCGATGGTGCAGCTGTAGAATTTTTTGAGGATCTGAGGACCCATGCCAAATCTTTTTAGTCTCCTGAGGGGGAATAGGCTTTGTCGTGCCCTCTTCACGACTGTCTTGGTGTGTTTGGACCATGATAGTTAGTTGGTGATGTGGACACCAAGGAACTTGAAGCTCTCAACCTGTTCCACTACAGCCCCGTCGATGAGAATGGGGGCGTGCTCAGTCCTCTTTTTTTTCCTGTAGTCCACAATCATCTCCTTTGTCTTGGTCACGTTGAGGGAGAGGTTGTTGTCCTGGCACCACACGGCCAGATCTCTGACCTCCTCCCTATAGGCTGTCTCATCGTTGTCGGTGATCAGGCCTACCACTGTTGTGTCGTCGGCAAACTTAATGATGGTGTTGGAGTCGTGCCTGGCCATGCAGTCATGGGTGAACAGAGAGTACAGGAGGGGACTGAGCACGCACCCCTGAGGGGCCCCCGTGTTGAGGATCAGTGTGGCAGATGTGTTGTTACCTACCCTTACCACCTGGGGGCGGCCCGTCAGGAAGTCCAGGATCCAGTTGCAGAGGGAGGTGTTTAGTCCCAGGATCCTTAGCTTAGTGATGAGCTTTGAGGGCACTATGGTGTTGAATGCTGAGCTGTAGTCAATGAATAGCATTCTCACGTAGGTGTTCCTCTTGTCCAGGTGGGAAAGGGCAGTGTGGAGTGCGATAGAGATTGCATCATCTGTGGATCTGTTGGGGCGGTATGCAAATTGGAGTGGGTCTAGGGTTTCTGGGATTATGCTGTTGATGTGAGCCATGACCAGTCTTTCAAAGCACTTCATGGCTACAGACGTCAGTGCCACGGGTCGGTAGTCATTTAGGCAGGTTATCTTAGAGTTCTTGGGCACGGGGACTATGGTGGTCTGCTTGAAACATGTTGGTATTACAGACTCAGTCAGGGACATGTTGAAAATGTCAGTGAAGACACTTGCCAGTTGGTCAGCACATGCTCGGAGTACACGTCCTGGTAATCCGTCTGGCCCTGCGGCCTTGTGAATGTTGACCTGCTTAAAAGTCTTACTCACATCGGCTACGGAGAGCGTGATCACATAGTCGTCCGGAACAGCTGGTGCTCTCATGCATGCTTCAGTGTTGCTTGCCTCGAAGCGAGCATAGAAGTGGTTTAGCTCGTCTGGTAGGCTTGTGTCACTGGGCAGCTCGCGGCTGTGCTTCCCTTTGTAGTCTGTAATAGTTTTCAAGCCCTGCCACATCCGACGAGCGTCAGAGCCAGTGTAGTATGATTCAATCTTAGACCTGTATTGACTCTTTGCCTGTTTGATGGTTCGTCGGAGGTCATAGCGGGATTTCTTATAAGCGTCCGGGTTAGAGTCCCGTTCCTTGAAAGCGGCAGCTCTACCCTTTAGCTCAGTGCGGATGTTTCCTGTAATCCATGGCTTCTGGTTGGGGTATGTGCGTACGGTCACTGTGGGGACGACATCATCGATGCACTTATTGATGAAGCCAGTGACTGATGTGGTGTACTCCTCAATGCTGTCTGAAGAATCCCGGAACATGTTCCAGTCTGTGCTAGCAAAACAGTCCTGTAGCTTAGCATCTGCGTCATCTGACCACTTTTTTATTAGCCGAATCACTGGTGCTTCCTGCTTCAGTTTTTGCTTATAAGCAGGAATCAGGAGGATAGAGTTATGGTCAGATTTGCCAAATGGAGGGCGAGGGAGAGCTTTGTATGCGTCTCTGTGTGTGGAGTAAAGGTGGTCTAGAGTTTTTTTCCCCTCTGGTTGCACATTTAACATGCTGGTAGAAATTAGGTAGAACGGATTTAAGTTTCCCTGCATTAAAGTCCCCTGCTACTAGGAGCGCTGCATCTGGATGAGCGTTTTCCTGTTGATTAATGGCCTTGTACAACTCATTCAGTGCAATCTTAATGCCAGCATTGGTTTGTGGTGGTAAATAGACAGCTATGAAAAATATAGATGAAAACTCTCTTGGTAAATAGTGTGGTCTGCAGCTTATCATAAGATACTCTACCTCAGGCGAGCAAAACCTTGAGACTTCCTTAGTATTTGATTTGGTGCACCAGCTGTTGTTTACAAATATACAGAGACCGCCACCCCTCGTCTTACCCGAGTCTGCCGTTCTGTCCTGCCGATGTAGCGTATAGCCTGCTAGCTGAATGAGAATAATCTCATTATATTAATGTGTATATTGATGTGTACAATGATGTGTATAATGATGTGTAGTGTATTATTAATGTGTATAATGATGTGCATATCGATGTGTAATTTGATGTGTATAATGATGTATATAATGATGTGTAGTGTATTATTAATGTGTATAATGACGTGTATTCATCTGCGAAAGAGACATTGGTCTCAGCATGACTCCCTGTCGATTTTTAAAAGGTTAAATAAAAATATATAACTTTCAAAATACGGTATGATGGATTTTGCATCATATGATGCAAAATGCTGTATTTTGAAAGTGATATATTTTTATGCAAAACATTGTGGGATTATATCAACAATGGACTAATGAAACAAATACCAAAATATAGTTATCCTTTAACAGTTCATAGCAACAAAACAGTCAGTCTTTAAGGCCTCAGAGAGATCACATTGTTCAGTAGAACACAACAGTAAAAATACAAAAAGCCTTCCAAGTCTGATCCATCATCACAATCCATCTTCATCAACTTTACATCATTACCATCATCATGGAAACACTGGTCGTGTTCCCCTGCTCAGACGTTGCATGAATCAACCAAAGATTGCTATAACATGTGGTTAGCTGAACGTGAAATACCTATCTAGGCGTTGTAAGATCTGGAATGCATCAGCAACACCTGCTACGTCTGAGCAGAGGAACACGACCAATGTCTCCATAATGACATAATCATGATGAGACCTGGGTTCAAATACTATTTGAAATCGTTCAAATACTTTAAGGACTGGTTTCCCGGACACACATTAAGCCTTGTTGTGGACTAAGAAGCACTTTCAATGGAGAATCTCCACTAAACATAGTTTATAGTTTAAGACTAGGCTTTATCTTTGTCTTATAAACCAGCTCCTTAGCGTTTGCTTCAGTCTGTCTATGTCACAGATTCAATCGAGGCTGCCCAACCTCCTTGCTCGGGCAGGCTTCGGCGTTCGTCGTCACCGGAGTACTAGCTGCTACCGATCCATGTATCTATGTTCGACTTGTTTTGTCTTTATTGGTCACACCTGTTTCCCATTATGTAGTTATGTCTCCCCTATTTAACCCTCTGTCTCACACTGTGTGTTGTGTGTGTTTGTTCATGTTTCGGCTGTCGTTAGTGTGCGGGTTTGTTCCCTCCCTGCGTGGAGGTTGTTGTTGTTCTTTCTTTTACCTTCGAGTAAAGTACGCCTTCTGATTAGCTCTGTGTCCTGCGCCTGACTTCGCCTAACGCATTACACTGACGCCTTGACAGAAACACACACCATCTACATGGAGTCAGCAGG